GAGAAGTCCAAGAAACGGTCAACCAATCAAAAATTCGACATTTCCGAGAATCATAGCATTTTGTGAAAAAAAAACGGCGTAGCCGCTTATGCGGAAGATATTCAATCAATCTGTATTTTCGATTGATACCAAAATTTATGATTTGGGAGGGTAAATCTTGAGAAATAGCAAAAAGTTTTATAAAATAGTTACAAAACTAAAACGTTTACTTTTCCGATGGCCATACGGGTTATGGGAAGCTCATTTGCTCACGCAACTACTCCCTAACTTTTCTGATATCAAAAAAGTATGGATCTCAAAAAAGTCAACGTTTTGATAATTTAGAATTTTTATAAAGTTTTTTTGACTTTTCTCCGAAAATTAAAACTTTGAGTTTAATCGAAAGTACAGGTCGGTTGAATCCCTTCTGCATGAGCGCCTACTCTGTGCCTTTTCACAAAAAGTTATGATTATCGGAAATGTCAAATTTTTGAATACTCGACCGTTTTTTGGATTTCTCTCGCCACTATTCTGTCAAATCTGATATCATAAGTTATACCAAAACAACTTGTTGAAAGCTTTTCCTTATAACTGTCTATGCCCAGTTTGTTTAAGAAAAAAGTTATGGCCTTTTAAAAGTCGAAGGGAAGTTTTGAAACTTTTTGACTTTACGCAAAAAAGCCGTGCCAATTCTCAAGTTGTGTTCAATCGAAACCACCGGTCGTTGGAAGGTTCTCTGCTTAAGCGGCCACAACCTGCTCTTTCGCAGGAAAAAAAAACATGAATTTTGGTAGTTCTTTTAACCTCTTTTTAAATTTTTTGACCGTTTTTTAGAAAACTTATTGATTTTTCCTAAGAATTACACAACCAAATCTGAGATAAAAAAACCAACTGAAACAAATAGTTGCGATAATGGTTGCTGCAGAAGCGGTGGCTCTTGATTATCTCAAAAAAAATTCTTTTTCAGTAGAAAAATATTTAAGATTCTGGGCAAAATTCAATTTTTGAAAACAATCATTTCGAGCCAAATCAGCAAAGCAAATCCGTTCAATGTTCAATATCAAGCACATACCTCCAGTTTAAGCTGCGGACCCTTGTTGTTTCTATCTGGACAACCGAATTCTTTGAGAGTTGAGCCTAAAATCTCAATTATGGCAGGATAGCTTTCGAGAAATTTCAAAAATTTAAAGAAATGGCCAAAAATCAAAATTAATTTGACCATTTAGAGGGCCAAAAATTGTATGTAAACAAATTTGGGCGTAGCCGCTCATGCAGAAAATTTTTCGAAGCCAGTTTATTCATTGAAACCAAAACTCAGATTTGAGAGTGGTAATTTTGAGAAAATGAAAACAAAATCAAAAATTTGGGTCAAATTTTCCCCCACAGACTTTTTCGAAGGATGTAGACAGAGGTCTTAGGTGAAAAGAAGCCAGGGGAGTATACCGACACTCAGGGAAAATTAATTGCATGTTTTTTTCCAAAAATTTGCTTATAATTGACTTTTTGTTATCTAAAATTTTTTACTAATTTTATTTTTTTTTATATTCTGGCTTCAAGTTAACTTTTGTCTCCAATCTAAACCAACTACAAAGAGACGAAGCAAAGCGTTACAGCACGAACTTAAAAAAAAATTGCTCAAAAAAAATAAAATGTTGAAAAAAAATTATGCGAATCAAATTTTGTTGGCTCGATAAAAGACAACTAAGGGCCCAGCAAAATCTGGAGGCAAGTATTTGATATTCTTTGAAATTTAAACCATCATGGGGGACGAAGTGAGGTAAACCAAAAATTGGACTATGTCGTAAAATTAACTGGTTTCTCTACTAAAATAAGTGAGTAGACCTAAACACTTTGAGATAATCATTTTTCCAATGAAGATAACCTTTCCCTTCGAAAATTATGGAGCCAATGCTTCTGCACGAAATATTATCTCAACCGGTCCTTTCAGTTGATTTTTTCATTTCAGATTTTATTGATTATTTTTGGGGACATTTCAAAAAACTTCTGAAAAACTATCAAGTTTTTACAAAAGCCATCAAAACGAATTCCAAAATTCGAGGTTTTTTCCTGCATGAGCAGGTTGTGACTGCTCAAGCAGACAAGATTACTAAAACCGATTTTATCGATTAAACACAACCTGAAAATTGGCATGGTAAATTTCACGAAGAAAAAAGTTTAGAAAAAATTGTCGAAGTTTCAAAACATCGATTTGTTTGAACTCCATAATTTTCTTAAAAACAAACTGGGCATACCCAGTTATCAAATAAAGCTTCCAACAACATGCTGTTTCGATTAAACCTATGATGTCAGATATGACAGGATAGTTAGCGAGAGGAGTCCAAGAAACGGTCAACCTATCAAAAATTTGACATTTCCGAGAATCATAGCATTTTGTGAAGAAAAATACGGCGCAGCCGCTTATGCGAAAGAGATTCAATCAACCTGTTCTTTCGATTGAAACCAAAATCTTTGATTTGGGAGAGTAGTTCTTAAGAAATACCAAAAACTTTTATAAAAAAAGTTACAAAACTGAAACGTTGACTTTTCCGAAACGTTGACTACGGGTTATGGAAAACTCATTTGCTCACGCAACTACTCCCTAACTTTTCTGAAACCAAAAAGTTATGGCTCTCGGAAAAATTAAGGTTTTGATAATTTGGAATTTTTATGAATTTTTTTGACTTTTCTCCGAAATTTAAGACTGAGTTCAATCAAAAGTATAGGTCGATTGAATCCCTTCTGCATGAACGGCTACATTGTGCCTTTTCACAAAAAGTTATGATTATCGGAAACGCCCAACTTTTGAATAATTGACCGATTTTTGGATTTTTCTTGCCCCTAAACTGTCAAATCTGATATCAGAGGTTTAATCAAAACAACTTGTTGAAAGCTTTCTCTTATAACTGTCTATGCCCAGTTTGTTTAAGAAAAACGTTATGGCCTTCAAAATGTCGAAGTTTTGAAACTTTTTGACTTTACGCAAAAACTACCGTTACAATTCTTAGGTTGTGTTCAATCGAAACACCCGGTCGTTGGAAGCTTCTCTGCTTAAGCGGGCACAACCTGCTCTTTGCGGGAAAAAGACATGAGTTTTGGTAGTCCTTTTAACCTCTTTTTAGAACTTTTGACCGTTTTCTAGAAACTTATGGTTTTTCCTAAAAATTACACAATCAAATCGGAAATAAAAATGTCCAACTGAAACAACTGGTTGCAATAATGGTTGTTGCAGAAGCGGTGGCTCTTGATTATCTCAAAAAAATTCTATTTTAGTAGAAACACATTTAAGGTTCTGGGCAAAGTCCAATTTTTGATATCGTTTTTTTTTCGTGCCAAATTAGTATAGCAAACCCATTCAATATCAAACATATACTTCCAGTTTTAGCTGCGGCCCCTTGTTGTTTTTATTTAGACAATCATAGCAGGATAGCTTTCTAGAATATTCAAAAACTTTAAAAGGTCAAAAGCAAAAAAAAATTGACCATTTAGAGGGCCAAAGTTTGTATGAAAACAAATCTGGGCGTAGCTGTTCTTGCAGAAAGTTTTTTCGAAACCAGTTTGTTTATTGAGACCAAAACTCAGACTGGAGAGGGGTATTTTTTGAGAAAATGAAATCAAAATCAAAAATATGGGTCAATTATTCCCCCACAGACTTTTTCGAATGCTGTCGACAAAATGTTCAGGAAAAGAGGCCAGAGGAGTATACCGACCTACAGGGGAATGAACGGTTTTTAAATTTATACCCCTTTTTGAAAAAAGTAGAAGTTTTGAGAAAAACTTAAATTTTTCCAATAAGTTTGGAAATAATTTTCCATAATCAAAAAAAATATATCAACAAACCGATTAGTTAATATACAACCAACATGAACAGTGCAGAGGGGAGTGTTCAATTTTTTTTTTTCTTGAAACGACCCAACGTTAGGTCAGTAAGCCGATAAAAAATTGGCAGAAATACTTTGGGCCGAGGTAATTTTTCAAAGCGGAACAAAAAAAACAAAGAATGAAATATGAACAGAAGGTAAGCAAAATTACTAGTTGTAGGAGTAAAGCAAACACTAAAAGCAACATTTAAGAAAAATGCGCGCAGCAAAAAAAAAACAAATTTAACAGGTGAAAACTAAGCCGACAACAGATAAGCAGAGAAATAATTGACCAACAATTTTATTTGAAACAGAGTATTTCCAATGTGAAAAAAATAAGCTCCTGGTCAGATTCAAGCCGAGGATCTTTGCCGTTCCAGGCATATTCTCTACCTCCAGGCTAAGTTGGCCGTGAACGCATTGAAATTTGATTCATTATGCACCAAGATTCAAGTTATTCTGATAAACAAGTTGTTAATCAGAAAAAAGTCTATAATCCAGTTTGATAACGCTTGTTAATCGCAAGCGTAATAATGATGGTTCAGCAATTTAGCTTTCGCTCACGAAGTGTTCGGTTAAAAGACAACTTTTCATACTGAGCAATAACGTATCTAGCTACGGCATTTCAACGTTTTACGGCAAGGTTTATTGTCCTTTGTCGTATCTTTTTGCATCAAAATTTTGTCAAATAGGAAACGTGAATTTGCGGTTGATTTATGACTTAATTTTCTCGGACGCTCGAAAAGGATAATTCAGGTAATCGGATAGCATCAGGCGCATTTATATCTTTTTCCGAGCTCCGGTAAAGATTTTTGAACTTTGGGGTGAAGTATGGGTTTTCTATGGCTCACATGATCCATTAACAAACTACTCTTTTTCACACTAAAACACGTGCCACAAAAATTGTCAGTTAAAGTTGAGTGGTACTATTCAATCATTTTAGTTGCAATTCAATCCTCTTAGATAACAAAAATGTTTATTAATCGCTAACAAAAATTTTACTATGTGTTTATAAGTCCATTACTAGTTTTTTCTGACGTAGTTTATAGCCGCACGAACAAATGTCAACCAACTGATACATTAGAGTTTTATTTTCGTTTTTAATCCATTTTGCAAACGAGCTTGTGGTCCGCAACTCGGCCGAATATTCCTGTTTCAGAAGACTGAGATTTATCTCATTTTTATTACAGGAAAACAATAATTGCATTCATAAAGCAGGGGAAAATAAAATTTGTTCAAACTGTTTATAGTATTTTCCATCTTTCTAATATTTCATAGCTCCATTAAACTTTATGTCTAACTAATTGAGAAAAAATAATTCATTCGAGTGATCAAATAATAAACTAAAGATAAAGTGAAACTTAAGAAACTGAACAACAACAGATCCCGAAACACAGGCGAAAAGTATACCAGTTGCCAACATATACAAACAATATATATACCTGCATCGATATATCAAATGATATAAAAACAATTTGATTATAGATGGCTTCAGGGACGAATTATAAGACTATGCAAATAAAAAAAAACACGTTTTAAAACCCTGAAACCACCCTTTCCTGGAATGTAGAGAAACCTTTACATGAATAATCGATACTGAAACATTTACAATTTTGATCATTTTGTAGCACCTTTTCACTTCAATTTGCTATTCGAAAATTTACTTTCGCTGGCTTGACAACCTTAATGTTATTTCACTATGCAGCTATGCCCTGCTATTTCTATTTTCACTTCAAAATTTCAAGTTTTCAAAAGTTGTACATCGCCGCTTTAAGAATAACATTCGTTCAAAAAATTGAACGAGTCGCTCCTTAAAAACTTCGAAAGAAGGGCATTTTTATTAAAGAGGCTCTTGAAACATCAGGAAATAAACTTGATTCACAGATGGGCTGCTGAAGTCTATGGCGAACAAAGATCGAATTATCTGCACGAATGAAACGAAAGTCTTTTCCACGAAACTGAGCAGATTCTTTAATTTCCCATTCAAGTGAAGATTTCACCTGTGTAGATGAACTAATTGCTCTTCTTTCATTTTGTTCTATTCCAGTGCCGATTTGAGGACACATACCATTGACTCTTAGATGACATTTGAGCGTCTATTCTTCATTCCCACTCCCATAGTAGTTCGCATCTGCCGACAGAGGCGTCTTTTCTGAAGCAGGAAAAAAAAACAAAATATGATTGCAACAGACATTTATACAGTTTATAGCAAATTAATTAAGCAGACGGCTCATTTCTGTGTCAGATTTTAGAGTAAAACTACTCGAAAGAGCAATGCACAAAATTTTTAATTATGATTTAGTTTTTGTTATGCTGTAGCTTTTAATCCAAAATGCTGTACAGTGCTGATTTAAAGTCTCCGGACAAAACGCAATAAACTAGAATTTCAAAACGCTAAATGTGTTTCCCAAATTCAAGTTTTTCTCAAATGGGTTGACTTTAAGTTAAAAAAAAGCTGAAGACAAAACTTGCAGAGAATTTCAGCACAATTCAAATGGTGCACATTTTTTTTGCAAAATTCAGGCCCAAAATTTAACCCTAAAATGGATCAGTTTAGCTTTTTTTAGTCAATCAAAGTGAGCCTCTTACATAGCCCAAAAAGTTTAAGAAGGGATTAATTATAGACAAAAAAGGTCATTTTTACTAAATAAAACACCAATTTTTACTTAAAAACAATTTTTAAACAATTTACGCTATTTCTTGGAGAGTATACCCTTCTTAAAGTTTATTGTGCTATGTAAGAGGCTCACTTTGATACAACAAATCAGTGATCGACCAATTAGTTTTGGTGTAATTTTTGATTGACTAAACAAGCCAAAACTGATCCATTATTGGGGTAAATTTTTAGGCCCAAATTTTGAGAAAAAAAAACTTGCACTATAATAATTCTGCCGAAATTCTAAGAAAGTTTCATCTTCATCATTTTTAACCTTAAGTCAACCTAATTTGAGAAAAACGCATTTTAAAACTCTAGCTTAATGCGTTTTGACCAGATAATTTAAGCAGAGGCGAAGTTGCACTTCGCATACACAAGCAAAAATACGACCGATAATGCTACTGGGAAAAACTGAATGAGTAAACCTTCGAGTCTAAAAAACTTCTTAAGTGACACACGCCAATTGTGAGTCTTCATAATTGCTAAGTGACGCAAGCCAATTATGACCCATTAGCAGTACCAGTCAAATTGCAAAAAAAAAGAAATCTACCAACTAACATGCCTCAATTTATAGAGCGGGCGCATTTAAACTAGTATACAAAAAAGTTCATTAAAAACATCTGACCCTGTCCAGTTTCGAACCCTCTTAATTTGTTGCTGGTCTCCTTCCCTACCTCTACGCTAAAGATCCATGATACCTTGAAGCTAAAGTGCTATTTGTAATATAATAGTCGGTGTTAATATCCTTAGCGTTGGTTGTACTTAATACCTTGATCAAAATGAACTTGGATCAAATAATACTTTCAAAATGAACATTTTGTCGCAACAATTGCATCGCAACAAGATTTGCGACTTAGGTTGAGAAAACAAGAAAGTTCATAGTATATCACAAGCTTCAGCAATGTAGTTATTGACAGATTAAATTTCTCAAGTTCACAGAGACGTTGCTCATTTAGACGTTGGAAATCAAATTTCACTAAGAACCTACTCTCGAAACATCGCTGATCGATAATAGAGTTTGCCTTTCTATTAACAAAAGAAATGACAAAGAATCGACTTTGCTGTTCGATAATGGAGTTTGCCTTCCTATTAACAAAAGGAAATAATTTGAACTTAAACGAAATCAAAAATCAATCCCCGAAAATCAAAATTGAGCGGGAATAAATTTAAAACTTATCCCGAAAAAAAAACAAAATCATCACAACTATATAAGTCTTGAAGACGTTGATTGACTCGTAATTTAAAGCACAATCTGCCAATTTCAACAAAAACTTGCATGCAAATCCAAATTTTCAAGTTGCCTTGATACATAAATATCATCTTAGAAATAAGATTTGCATACCAAGTTTTTCGAAATAGGTCATTTGCTCTACATAATTAAAGTCTCCACTTTTACGAAAGTTTTCAGTTAATTATTTTTCAGTTAAAGGCTGGCAAAATTATTATGAAAGAGTCATTTACTATCTTCGGGGAAAATTTAGTATGAAAACAGCTGCTTTTTAGTCCGAAATCATGTCACAACGCTGCATGATACGTCGAAGTATATTATACATTTTATGACAGTATTTATATTGCTCATTTTTATCAACTTAGTCAGCTCTAACTGTTGGAACTCTTCAAAATAAGTATCTGAAAACGTTAAGATGAACAAAACTCCTTTGCTATTAATAAACACTGTGATGCATGCGAAAACTAACTTAAACGAAGGCAACTAGATGCTAACCAAGACAATGAAATTTTTCAAACATACTTGTTTTAGAAAACAAATTGGAAGGCGATTTGAAATTCTTTTAAAAAAAACTGCATTACACAATAAATTCAATAATCTGAAATTAATTAATTCAAGAATCTAGTATTCTATCATGAACTTTCTCCAGAATCTTATAATGTTTGTCCAATCTAAAAAGTGAAAAGCAAAATTTTCAAATCATAACGAAAAGAGATTTAAAGTGATAATGTGACGTTTAGTGGCAATTACATATTTTTTTCGAAGACCAGCACTCAAATGAATGAGAAAATGATTTCGTTGGGGTTTACTGAAGGTTTATTGAAACAGGCACATCAGCAGACAAAAATCTAAAGCAGACAGCATGAAAAGAAGCAATTTACTTGATCCGACAGCTACATCGTTGGGTTAGATTTTTTCATGCAATTTCAGATACCTGACAAAAAATCAGTTGAACCCACAGAAAATCAGTTGTGGCATCACAGTTAAGCCCTTTCGTATGTTTCGGAATCTCGAAAACAAATTCAAACATCATTAAGCTTGTCTCAATTCAATTCAATTCAGAAGAAATTTTTGAGGATTCTAAACAAAAAATGAGAATCATAGACAAAATTGTGCATAGTTTAGTCCAGCCAATTGCCAAATTAACTGATTTCAAACTACCAATTTTTACGAAAAATAATCTCAGGCCAAGGCGTTGATTTTTTCAAACCAGTTTTAGATTTCAATGGGACTGACCGTAAAGCACTGCTGGCTTGCTCGTAAAGTAAGTACAAATAAAGAAATACAGTAAAAAAATATTTCAGAAGTTTTCGTGGTATTTCAAATTTAACGAAAGCCTTCATATTACGCTTCGCTTCCCAAACAGATTAATTAGCTTTTCAATTATAATAAAAATAGGAAGATACAAAGCAATCTCAGCATTATTTTCAAGTGCAGAGCCTTTCAATGTCGCCTTTTATCCACTCTTCGCTGAAAAAAAAATGTCCGACAGCAAATATGTCAGACATTTTTTTTACACATGGAGATAGTTTAGCGAATTTTTACTGCAGCTTAAATCAAGATTGAAAGCACTTAAATAAATATTGAAATCACTCTATCACTTGTCTTCGTAAGTAGTTTCTGTGGTACCTCAATTTAGCTGGTTAAAACGTAGCCAACAGAAAGTTGGAAGTGTTCATGAACTCAAAAAAGCGGGAAAAAAAATAATTGACTCAATTTAAAACATTTTTTTTTAATTTCGAGTTTATAATCTTGTATTATCAGCGCCCTTCAAACAAATAACTCAATTTGAAAAAACTGAACCATTTGGTTGTTTTTTTTTTACTGGGAATCTGAACAATGAAATCCATTTTTGAAATGAGTTCGTAATTGGAGTGTAAGTTGCCTTCCTTTTACAAAATGAATTTGAAAGAAAAAACCAAGACGTGAAGAATCGAACTTGAGCGTGACACAGATGCGAAGGTGCACTTTGCACGCAAACACTAGCGAGAACACAAAAAGTAGCTCTAAAGAAAAAAGTAGAAATAAGCTTCAAATTAGTAAAAATTCGTCTACGTCTCGGATTTGAACCTACGACCTACTGAGACCTAGAGATAATGAGTTTCACGCAGTAACGACTCAGCTACAGACGCTTAATTAATGACAAACAATAATCACAAATAAAGCAGAGAACAGATGCTATGCAATTTCTAATGCTAGAATTAAATTTCCATGTAAGTGAACACTTTCAATTAACACTTTTATTTGCCAGTTAGGCTAGGAAAAAAAGAAGCTTCGTACTAATACACTAACGCTCGCAAGCTCGCTAGTGTGAATAACTAACCAATATTTTTTCCGGGATAAAAATTAAACACGACCTATATAAGTATCTTCATTGACACTTAAAAACAGCTTATTTGAAAATTGGAAGTTCAAAGAAACTTTTCAGGGGGAAATTTGAAATCAGCATGGCAAACAAAACTAAAAACAAAGGCGAGGCTGGAATTAACCACAAGCAAAACTAAGCACAAAGGCGAAGCTAAAAGCTTTCAATTAACACTTTTATTTGCCAGTTAGGCTAGGAAAAAAAGAAGCTTCGTACTAATACACTAACGCTCGCAAGCTCGCTAGTGTGAATAACTAACCAATATTTTTTCCGGGATAAAAATTAAACACGACCTATATAAGTATCTTCATTGACACTTAAAAACAGCTTATTTGAAAATTGGAAGTTCAAAGAAACTTTTCAGGGGGAAATTTGAAATCAGCATGGCAAACAAAACTAAAAACAAAGGCGAGGCTGGAATTAACCACAAGCAAAACTAAGCACAAAGGCGAAGCAAAAATGATTGAAATGCGTAAAACTAGTTACCAATAACGCGTATCATATGCTATGAAATACGCAATGCTATGCAGCAAAACAGACCACCAAAATGAACACTATTTTCCGAGAGCTGGGATATAAAAAAGTGTTGATTCGTAATGTACACTACGCTCTCTGACTTGCGTATATAATATGTATAAAATTATTCAAACTCCGACAAAATTAAAATAGAAGCGAAATTGCATTTAGCATACAAAGGCAAATATACCAAATCCATGAAAGAAGTTGTTAGAGATGATGGGAAAAGAGAACCTGTTTCAGTCTCAACAATTGGAAGATAATTATGATGATAACAGACAGCCAGTGAAAAATGACTCGAAGGATGTGTCTTCCTTCGAGTCTTCCTGATAAAAAACTCATGCTCGCTTACTATAAAGCAAGTGGTCGGAAAATTAAATGATTTAGATTAATTTGATAACATAGCAATGCAGAGGCTCGCAGAAGACAAATCATATGGAAGAATAATATCAGTGATTCAACTAAAAGTATCTACTTGATGATTCACTAAACGTGCAACAAGCATAACGTCTTCCAAACGCGAAATTGGGGTTTCCATAAAGACGGATCAAACATATCTACACGGCAGTACAGTTACCTTTCCACTGCGCAACTACGTTCATAATTCAAGAAAGCGCAAAACTCTGTTTCTAAGCGCTCGACTCTATTTCTGTATCATCTTTAACTTTCTTGTCTTTTTCCGTATTTTTGTTTGGCTCTGATGCAACGTTTTTGCCAGGTCCGCCGTTTTCTTCAACTTTTTCCGACGGCGAGGAAATTTCCGAGTTGGTGGTGACTTGTTTGCTGTCTGAATTTTGCAAAGTATCACCACTGCCTTCTTCTTCTGGGTTTTCGGAATTTCTTCGCGATGCTCCAACTATCACAATTATTGGGAGCGCTTGAAATGTCGAGGAATAAAATTCACATCTCAATTGCGAGTAGGATATGCGTTAATTTATTAATTGATTTATGGAAAAATAATAACAATAGATCAAATAGTTTCCGTACAAATCAGGTTATAATTAAATTTTGAAATTTATCAAAAAATGGGTTGTTAGTGAAAATATTTGATTATTGGGTCGTTGAACGAAATCAACCTAGCTGGTTTGTGAAAACTTCACCAAAAACTACACAAGTCATTCCACGTAAAATCGGATTGTCTAGTGAGTTGAACTTGAACTATGGAAAAATGTTTTCACGCTTTGCTGGATTGAAAAACAGAACTGATCACACTCTATTCATTCACAAAACTCACCATTTGTGGAGGGCTGACTAGTGACTACATTCTTACTACTCGCTTCACTCTTCGTCTTCTCCTTCTCCTTATCACTGCTACCATCTTCAGGATCACTGCTACTCATGAAGGGGTTGTCCTCGTCAGGCATTTCTGGCTTACACTTGCCACAGCAGCAGTTGCAGCAACAGCAACAACAGCAGCAGCACCAGCATCCAGTCACAATCGAGCAGAAAATGAAGATGGCCTAGAAATTACAAGTGGATTACGTTAGCTGGGAAATGGGCTGCTAGGAAATAATAAAAAACCAATTATCTACCACCTTTGATCCAAGTTTGCATGTACGTATAAGCCACAACATCGCTTCTTGGACATTTTTTTTTCAAATTATTTTATTGCTGTTTAAAAAACCAATATGTATGTCCAAACTTTTTGCATCTAATACCCAATTTCTACACAGAGGCGAAGTTGCTCTTCGCATACAGAAGCAAAAATATGACCAATAACGCTACTGGGAAAAACTGAATGAGTAAAACTTTGAGACTACAAAATTTCTCAAGTGACGCACGCCAATCACGACGCATTGGCAGTACCAGTCAATTTGAAAAAAAAAACCAACTAACAATCTCAATTTATAGAGCAGTCTAGGGAGCAGTAATAACAAAAAATTGAATGCAATAAAAATAGAATGAGATTTAAAATTTGAGATTTTTTGTGAAACTCATCCCCCCGGCACGCCATATAAAGTAAAGTACAAAGTGATAATTTTCGCTCCTAGTAACAAATCAATTATGGCGAATAAGCTTCCTTCAACCAATTTGGAACGATTTCTAAGAGGGATTAAATCTCCGCTTCCGCGTTAATAGCGCGAAATATATCGCGCGTCAATTGTCCCAAATTTGCCATAATAGCAATCTTTAAACCCCCAAAACTTTACGAAAGATCACAGGTGAAATATCGTTCCAAAATTAAGCTCAAGACAACACTTCCATTTGAATGATGAAAAAATCCCGTCAAAAACAGATAGTTTAAAAACCGAAATTTGTCTGAAGAAAAAAAAACCTCGCCGAGCACAAATATTCCGTTTTTTTTTTCGTTACAAAAGTCGGTACAAAAATAGTCTGTGTTGCTATCCTTAGCATTGGCTGTACTTAATAGCTGGTTATTAATCAAAACGAACACTTTCGAAATGAACACATTTTATCGCAACAAAATTTTGCGACTTAGGTTGGGAAAAAAAGATAGTTCGTACTAAAACACAAGCTTTGCTTGCGTAATAAGCTCCGAAACTTTAAAGTGGCTGAAATTGTCTAAAGATACTCTACAAAAAAATTACATAAAAAAAAGAACACGAAAAAAAACAGCTCTAGAAAGTGCAATAACAAATAATAGAAATATCAAAAACTCGGCTGAATCTAGGATCTACGACCTACTGCAATCAAGAGATTCTGAGTCTTATGCACTAACCACTCAACCACGCACGCTTAACCACCGACAAACACTAGTCACGAATAAAGCAGCTACATTTGCTAAAAAAATGTCAATGAGATTCAGCAAAAATGGCACCAAATACAAAGAGACACAATTTTGCAAGTAACAATTTGGATTTTAACAAACTGAAGGCAACCTTACTAACTTTGCTTATAAACAATTGCGAAGCATAAAGCCGCATTACGTATAAATTATGCATTTCAAGAAATTGCTAGATATATTGAGTTAGAAAATGTCTGAATTCGAGTTTTATTATTGTTATACTGTTTGAAACAAAGAGCTTTCATCGGTTCACTTGATGAAATAAAATGCATCAACTGTGTTCACGTATTGCTATTCGAATGCCAAAGCACTGTGCCAGTCGGTCTTACGGCAGAAGTTTTAGTAATTTTTCGTTCGAATGGAGTTTTTTGTTCGAATGGTCAAATAATCAGAGCGACCGAATTTACAATTGGGGAAAGTTGACAAAAACTCAGTCTAGGCATAAATTGCGATTCGCAAATTACCAGATAATATCCAACTTGAGTAGAGCTGTATTTTTCCTAATAGAGCGCACAAAGAGTGGATTCGTGAGTGCTGAGCCTGGAGCAAAAGGAGCCTTGATTAGGAACGTCTCCTACTCAAGTGACCCTATGGTCCAAGTTTTTGCCTAGATGTGAGTACTGAATTTAATTATTTGAGTGCATTTTGTACAGTTACAGTGGAGTAAAGCGAGTTTTAGGTTGTTCCATCTGAAATGGATCAAATGTTCACTGTACAATAGAAAACAAAAAGTATTTTATTGAGGTCCCAAGCCTGTTTTTAACGGCATTCGCGTGTTTTAGATATTTAGAGACCTAGTAATGGGGGATTACCAAATTCTATCTAGAGTGGCGGGTTTTTTTGGTATTAGCCTTTAAGCTGTAACTATCCTTAAGTTCCATGTCATAAGCGTGACTGCGGTACAGAAGCACAAGAGATATTGTCCCTGACCCTTGAGCCAATAGTTATAGGTCCCATTTTTCTTAAACTCATATGCGACGCGAGTGAACGACTGTTACACACATGCTATCAAAAAAGAGTCCAATATTTGCGCCTTAGGTTTAAAAAATAGAATGTCCTAAAAAATACACTAAGTTGACGCGAGCGTAATAAATGAAGTTTAAACATTTAAAAGTTAAACGTATCGAAGACGACCTTGTACACAAAAAAAGACAAGACATTTTGCAAAAACCACGTTGAATTTACAAAAAGAAGAGACACGTTGATGCAATAAACATTTAGAGTTAACAGAAAAAAACTGTTTATTTTAATAGAATCTAACCTTTGAGACAGGATTGTTGAGAGCGAAGTACACTTTGGCTGCCTGAAACAAAAAAGTAATTTCAGTACGAGCGAATCACACGAAAAAAAAGCAATACTCGAAGTAGTAAAATTAAATGACGGGACCAAGGAACAAATATTGGGGGTCATGTTTGACCATTTTGACAATTTTTCTCAATCTACAGAATAAAGGGTGGAAATGTCAGTATGTCAGTGTAGAAGAGCCCCAATTAAGTAACCCTCGTATACTTATTGATTTCTTTATCAAACTGAGTCGAAAATAGGGCGTAGTGGACCGCATGGTATTGTGTTGTGGTCACTCTACCTCGGGTCCCATTTGGTCCATGAGGTGGAGTCCCCTGCTGCCATACTTGTCATATATCTCCCGCTTCTGCTCATCTGTCAGCACCGAGTGTGCACGGTTAATCTCCTTGAACTACAAGTGCACAATAAGAGCAAATAAAGCACAATATTCACATCCACAAAAACATGGTTGATTGTTTGTAAATGTAATAATTCCTTGATATGTAATAATTCCTTTTTAACCAAGAAGTTATATCAACCAAACATGTATGTTCTGCTGAAAAAAAATACAACAACAACTCCCTGTAGTTTGCAAATGAGGCGAGCAAAAAAACTATTAAAAACTAATACCCAAATTTTTGATAGGAATTCTCCTATGTTCGAGTTTGACTAAAAACTGCTTAAGCGCAGATATTTCGAAAGCAAGATAGTAATGAAATTTGACAATTTTCAAATAAAAATTATCATTTCACGCATTCGCATTAAATTTCCTCTTGTGACAGGATATGAGTGTAAACTTTCTGATATTTAAAAAAGGCATCATTAAAGATTTGGACAAATTCCATGCCATTTTTAGTGCCATAACAATCCAGAAGCACATTTTAGTTGAACTTATTTACCGTTTCTGCAGCTTCAGGGTTGTCATGGTTCTTGTCTGGGTGATATTTGAGCGCCATCTGAAACAAATCTCCTCAATTCCATAACATTCGTAATCATTATAGTAAACTGTTTCCAGTAGAATTCAACACTCAACACATTAATTTTTATAAACACTCATCTAAAAAGAGCTCAGTCTGGGAGACCATCATTATTAAAATTATGTCTGTTTTCAGATAGATCAATCATTGTAACCATAGTATGAGGGATATATACAATTACTAGATGCAAGTTCCATGCAAGTTGCGAATATAATTACTAACTTTTCTGTAGCTCTTTTTGATCTCTTCATTGGAAGCACCTTTCTCCACATTCAACATCCTGTACAAGCCTTCTCCTCTGAAATGAAACAAATATCGGTTTAAAATAAACTACAAAAGCCTGAAAAAAAGCTCCAAATATCAGCCAAACGTTTGCAGAAAAGCAGCACGAATTGCGATCAAGTGCAAAAAAAAAGTTGAAAAACGAAAGGCTAGGTCACTGCAGGATTCAAAACTGCAGCTCCAGACTTAGAAAAACTTGCATTGAGAACGGCTTAATTCCGATTTCCTGCGGTACACATCTCTCAAATGCTTTATTAATAAATAACAGGCAGCAATGAATGAAATTGCCAAATATTACTGCAGGTTATCCAAAAACTTGAAATGAATACTCACTTGGTACTGAGTTTGCGCTGAAGACCTCCGGAAGCTTCCTGAGCATCTTTTCCATCCGGTTTCGAAGCTGTCATCTTGCAGTCGACGCACTATTTCAAAACAGGTGTCTCCTAATACATTAACAAACTAAATAGGGGCAGTAACAATAATCGGCAGTAATGATATTCTGATTACCAAGCAACAATTTGAACAAAATGTACGAATACAATAAAAAGATATCCCAGCCCAATAATGGGACTCAAATCTCTGAAGTTTATCGTCCAGGTATTGCGAAGGCAACAGAGTTGATCGTGTGAAAAATGCGCTTCAGCGCGCAGAAACAAGTGTTGTGATCACTTTTCGTGACGTTCATAGTTTGGTTTCCATGGTAAATTAAGAAGATACTTGAGTCTATATTATTGCACTTGCTCTAAACTGATGCTGCTTCATTCATAACTGAAAAGAAAAAACTAACTAAAACAAGAGTAGCTTTTTACTGCGTAAGTAGTACAAAATGCTCTGACTACGGCAAAAATAATTTGAAGAACGAAATATCAAGAAAATAGAAAGTCCGCAATTTCTCTTAGTTTTAGGCTTATTTCGGAAGAGGAAAAAATCATATCATCTGCAGCAAAAAATAAAGAGAAACCGGCCAAATGCAAAAACCATTTCCATTAGTATAAACTCATCCATATAATCCGTAGCTTCACTATGGTTCTCAGAAAACTGTTGAATCAGCAAACATCCAGGATAAAACTTCAGGAAATTATAAAAAAACGCTATAAAAATAAGCAAAAATTGGGAAATACAAAAACCAAAATGTGGAACTTTTATGACAAAAGCTCAAATGATTCAAATCCGACACAATATATGTCTACATAAATTAGAAGCGGAGCTTCGCACCACTTTCGATTCCAACACAAACATAGCATAGCAAACTAGCCGGAAAAAAACTACAGGCAGAAGTCGATAAGACAAAGATCTATCGAAACACTAAGTATCGAAAAAGGACAAAAAAATACCAAAATTTCATATATTCGTCTCGATTTGTATTGAATAAAATGAAATTAATTTTGACAAAAAATGCCACAGCAAAACATGGCAGTTGAAAAAAAGTGAACAAGCGGTAACAAAGCCGACCAAGCTTAAGCCGACACTACAAAGGACACTATCAAACGACGCTAAGGAAAATATACCGCTACACAATAAGCCAAAATCTTTTAAATCAAATAGATAGAAAAAGAAAACCAAGCTGAAACTTTTATTAAATAAATGTTGGTATAATTAAAACCAACGCCAAAACCAAATTAAGACACAGAGGCGAAGCTGCGCTTCGCAAAAAAAAAACAAGCGAGAACTAGAGAAAAAAGCAGCTCTATAAAAAGAAATAAAAAAAATTGAAATAAGCCTATGAAGCCTATGTTACTCTAAATTGGTCTGGATAGGATAAAAATCAGACCAGTTTTTCTCAAAATAGACATTTGTTTCGTAATTCGAATCACGGCTGAAAGGCTCTTGACATACGATACTTGACCCCCTATTCTTTTAGGCAGTCAGACGTTTATGAAAGAAGTCATCCTACTGAAACAGGAGTAGCTTTTGCAGCGTTAGTAGCAAAAGAAGCTCCGATTACAGCAAAAATCAATTAACAAATAAAGTATCAACACAATCGAATGTCTGATTTTTTTTCACGTTTTCGGAAGCGGAGAGGCAAAAAAAAAGAAAAACTGGCAAACTGCAAACCATTTGCAATTAGTACTAACTCATCCACATTAATCCGTAGTTTCCTTCTGGTTTTGTATGAAAGAAGGCATCTTACTGAATGTTTCTTTACTGTAAATAGTTCAGCGCCGGATAACAGAACACTTGCTACTCGGAAATGATTCGACCAAAAATATTGATCAAATCACGACTGAAACCTTTATTATGACCTCATCTGACGAGATTTTGGAGTACTTGATTTTTCCGGAAAAAAAAACATTTGAGTACAAAGTTCCTTCGTACTTCATGTTCGCAACAAACATGGGGAATATTCGGATAACAGAATTGAATGACCGAAAAATTTCAGCCAATTATCGCACAGTTCAAACCTGATTAAGTTCCACAATTATATGCTTCAAAATATATGTCCAAAACGAAATCTAATTTAAAACAAGGATAATCAGCGGCTGTACATATCCAAGAGAAACTACATCAAAACTTAGAGCCTGATGAGTAAACCTGGCATAATCGACTAAGGTTGGCCTCGATAACGATTAAAAACAAAAATTAACACCTTTTTTATGGCACAAAAATGCTAAAACGAACGCTAAATGCAGCGTAAAAACTAATTTTCCGAAAGTAAAAATTTTCATGGCTTTAGTAAAAACTCTAAGCCATATTGCAACAACTTCTCAGGCGCAAGCTTTAATCGCTCAAAATTGCGACAGAAGGGTCTACTGAAGGGTGATATGATGCTTCACTTCACCCATTCTGATGATTATTTGAGGTTCCTGATTGAGTGGCAAAAAATAAAAAACGCCCGAAGACAAAGTGCCTCCCTGCTTTCAGTGATCGGAACAGCAACAGCACAACCGTACAAAACGCGTCCTGAGAATATTAACATGACAGAAGCACAAATACACTGTTGAAATGACGTAGATTCAAAGATATTAGCTGAAGCAAAACTTAATGAATTGACTATTGTTGAATTGAACTGTTGAAAATGGTGGTAGCTGAAATAATATCATTCTAACTGGAATAGACAGTGAGTTGAAATTGAAAATAGAAAGCGCTGTGCGTAACTGAAGAAATAGCCAAGTTTAATTTAGCGAAGAGAAGAGAAATGTGAGAAAGGGAAGACCAGTTTTTGTTTATCATCAATATCTTCAATAAAAAAGAATCAAGAGTTACAATGTAAAAACGAGTTGAGACAAAACAGAGTTTAGCCAAAAAAAGTTAATAATAAGCCGTTTTTCTCCCATCATTCAGAAATTATTACAAGATGAACAAATGTGTTGGTCTAATTTTCTCTTTTTTTTCTGTTAAATAAGCAACGTTTTTCCACCAAGGGTTTCAACGACGTATTCATATTTAACAAATGGTAACTTGAAAGTCTTCCGATTGTCACATTGTTTGAATTATATCCACTCTTCTGTTCTTATCAATGGTCCAATGGATACACGGTATCTTTTTTCCTCTTACTCACGTAGTAATCCCATTCCCCTAGGGTATGAAATATCTAGGACAAGACAGAGTAACAAGCCGAAAACACATATTTCCGAAAAGTTAATTTGATTTGCAAATACTGCTACAATTTGAAAATTAGGTCTCAGAGCCAATGTTACGTAACAACCACCGAAAAGTGTTGAACATATCGCAATTATGCTTCGCCTATGCTCTTCTATTTACTCATGCCCATTGCGACGATCGTGTTATTTTGCATATAAAAAAGAGTCTCACTTCGATATAATAATCAATTTAGAAAATCAGCCTAACATTTGATCACATTTATAAAAGCATGAACAACAAATTATATCACTTCAACAATTTTCAACTTAAGCTCTATCCAAATAGCTTTCAACACAACTTCAATAAGCATAGGCATTATTCGATGTCTCCGTTCTTTCGATAACTTTTAAACCGAGTACGTCCCAAATGACTAAGTTTCAAAAGCCCTTAAAATGCAAAAAAAAACGAAACACTTAGAAACTTTTAGAGTTTCAAATAGACGATGAAGGGCAGTTTGAGCTCACAGAGGATTTATACTGCATTTTTTTATTCAGTTTTATGTGCGAATAATGTCATTTGGGATATCAGGATTAGGACAATCTCTCAAAGAGAGGCTTGAAACATTAGACTTTCTTTTCTGTATTACAATTGCACCTCAAATCTCAGTTGCACAATACGTCTTCTTCTTCTTCGTTGTCTTTTCTGCCCCTTTCTTCAGCCATAGTGTAGTAATCCGTTGAATTATCAGTAATGGCATTAGTCCATCCTTGTTTTGAGGGAACTCTTCGTTACTTTGTCCTTTTCGCTGTCAACAAAGAAGATGAATAATCAATCAGTATTACAGGGAACAGGGTAATAAATCCATGTGACATGATTAACTCCTTAGACATTCATTATTTCTTCGGGGATATAAAGGAATGGTTTTCCAATTAAGTAACTCAAAAAAAATGCCAACAAGTCCAATTGGTCAAGGAAATGTCTAGAAATTGATTGGACACAGAATAGCAGTAACAAAAAGCAGTAACATTTTGGCAATGTCGGACATTCATAGTGCTTGGAGAAATCTTGTTAACTAAATTTGGTCGAGATTCTTGGCTTTTTTGGACCTACATATATCATAAAGACAACTGGTGAGTCCACTATTATTACAGATTATAACGGATGATTGGTGGTTTACCCGAAACTAGTTTCAGCATTCAAAGTTATTTAAATTTTTTCAATCAAATTTTATCTTGAAACTATTGACAATTCGCAACATTCAACAATTCGTTACAGAACAAAATTGGTGGTAATCATTTTCAAGCGCATCATTGGTAAGTAGCAACCCTTGCTAAGCTGTGCTTACTTTCAGCACAAAAAAGAAAAGCATGACTTTCTGGTACACTAAGCGCTCAGCCAAGGACGATTAACGAATCACAAACACTAGCCACAAATAAAGCAGAGAACAAATGCTATGTACTTCCAACGCTACAGATTGTGATTATAGCAGAAGTGCCACAAAATGAGCACTTGTATTTGAGAGTAAGCTTGCAAAAAAAGAAGCTTGGTTCTAATGAAAATCCCTTAATGGCAATCAAACCACAGGCCTCGAGCATCCAACTCGATTGCACTATACAACTGTGCTACTGACACTTAAAAAACGAGACACTTGCAATTCAAAAGTCGGAGAACACATGCTATAAGACTGCCAATACTATTCAAAGAACTGCCCATACTGCTCACCACACAGCGCTCAACTAGGAGGTGCTCAAATTCGATGCATCCTACATTGGTCTCGTTTCGGGAACCAAACTGAGAAAAGGAGAGAGAGCGTTGCGAGTAAGAGAGAGAAAGAAAATTTAGGGAAGAAACAAGACAAGCGTTTCATCAACCGAGCAGCCAAAACCAGCCTACCGTCTCATGTTCATGTTACTGACTGGCCAATTCTCATTCTGCTATTCCGCAGCGAAAAAGAACAAAGTGCAACTAAATGAAGCATAAGTTACAGAATTTCGCCCATAACCGATAGTATCTGGTGTCACTTCGGAGCTTTTACTGTGGGAATTGAGACTTCTGCCAAATTAACCCGATTGTTACCCTAAATAAACAACTACCACCCGCACCCAAACTAAGACACCAACTTAGAATACATCAACTCGATCTCAGAGCTAAATTAGACAAAATAACCCATCACATGGTGACAAGTGACATAAAAATTAGGCCGATACAAGAAACGTTCACTACCAAAGAACCAAAGCTACGTAATGGATACCAAATCGTCGCACACAAGAGAAATAATTCGCGGCAAAGGAGGCGGACTTGCATTCATTATCAAGATGGGCATCAATTATCAGACGCTTAAACTCACACAAAAAGACACCTAAATAGAGCAACAAGCAATTACACAGAGGCACAGTTGCACTTCGCATACACAAGCAAAAATATGGCCGATCACGTTACTGGGAAAAACTGAATGAGTAAAAATTTGAGTAAACAAAGTATACAGTAGGTGAAGCTTGCCATTATGATTCTACATAATTTTTAAGTGACGCAAGCCAATTATGACGCACTAGCAGTACCAGTCAGTTTGAAAAAAGATACTTGCCAATTAACATGCCTCCTTCCCTACCTCTACGCTACAGATGCATGATACCTTGAAGCTAAAGTGCTATTTGTAATATAATAGTCTGAGTTAATATCCTTAGCACTGGGTGTACACAAAAGCTGAATGTTGATCAAAATGAACAGTTTCAAAATGAACACATTTTGTCGCAACAAATTTGCGTCGCATCAAAACCTGCGACTTAGGTGGGAAAGAAAAAGTTCAATATATAACACACGCTTTGCTAAAAAAAACTTAAATTATAAAGGGTCCTTTACGTTTAGGTACGGTAGTGCACAAGCTGGATAGGGCCCATACCAGAATTATATAAATACATCAGTTAACAATTTTGCAGGAATCAGGTCAAGTCAAAATTTAATGCATTGTCATTAAAGGTATTTACTTCAACCGTTCCTCCTCTAAAATAGCACTAATTGAATAGTCTATGAATTGAGTCTTACTAAGTGACCTGCACCACCGTATACAAAGGATAGCGCTCCTGAGCAGCGCGAAGCTTAACTTAGTTCTTATATAGTTAATTGTTTCTGAGTAGCTTTCATGCCTTTTTTCACTAAGTTTTTCAGCTATGCGCTGCATTGTCCGGTAGCTGCTGGTGCGGCACCACCAGTGCAGCCAAAAATGAGCTGGCAGAAGCTGCTCTGTTCGACTTGTAAAACTCTATTGGTATTGTGAGTTTTTTAGTGATTCGTGGTACTTATAGGCGTCTTTCAGCAGTCTTCGTGAAGTTTTTGCGTGTGGGTTGAAGACTTTGACATCAAAGAAAGTTCGACTAAACCTTGAGCCCCATAATCCGTTTGCTTTTACATCTAGTCGAGCGTCTTTATCAGTTGTGGTTGAATTGTTGACAAAGCTCTCGCCTTGCAACGACTGACGTTTCGGCTCAATTTCAACATCATAGCAAACCTTGCTCATGAGGTTGGCAAATGTATCTCTGATTTCGTCATGTCTCATGTGGGTGCATCCACCCTTTGCACAGTGAAGGGTGGAACCATACTCGAAAATAAAAACTAACAGTTCAAGTCTAAAAATCTATACCGCCAACTTCCAGCCACAATCCGGTTGTAGCCCCGGTTTCTCTGCGTCGCTTCAAAACCTACTAACAAACACAGATGCGCTAATTTTGTGTGACATCAATGCACGCTGCCTAAAACTACCAGAACAAAATGACGCAGCAGACTGTCGTAATCAATGAACACACATCCACGCGCAAAATTAAAAAAAATTCATAAGTTCACCTGACATAAACCTAGCAAAATCAAATTGGTTAATGCCCACTGATTGGCACCTTGACAACAGATTGGGATCAGATATTTCAGCTATCACCTTCGAAAATGCGAAAGTCAATTTGTCAAGGCAACCACGAAAACTTCCATAAATGTTTTAAAACCAGATTCGAAAAGCATCCGGGCAGAGTGAAAAAGGATTCCCCTAACAATCGTTACTTAAATCAATCATCAAAGTCCAGAAAATCTTCAGGAAAATAAATGCGATGCAGCATCTAAAACACACACCTCAAGGTTGCACTTCAACCTCTTAAAGCCTTAGAAGATCTCGACTGAAATTCTCAAAAGCAATGGACAGACTCCAACAGCATCAACCCTGAGATTCCACAACAGGAAGATTATTTAACAAGTTAAAGATAACAAAATATCAAAATGGATGGAATTTTAGGAAATGTCGACCTTCAAGGGGCAGCAAGTAAACTCTGGTCTACAGTAATAGGATTATCGAAAACAAACCAGCCAAAACTCCAAGACACATCCATTATCTTTGACTATGAACCCATACACGACACACAAAGAGTCTGCAGCAAATTCAACCAGCAGTTCACTCCGCACCCCAACAACAGCAAAAAAAAAATAAACGAGGGCAGTTATACGTAATATCAAAAAACTGAATTGAAAGAAAACTTCAAATATAATGGCCGAAGCTACAACCAAGTCCAATACGAAAAGCAAAGCGCTGGGGCCTGACCACTTTGTCCCAATCCATTAACATTTTAATGGAAAACAAGCTATCAAATACCTCAGGCT